GCAAGCTACGGATATTTCTTTCTTTTCAAGGATAAATACTTACTATTTAAAATATATATATATTCATTTTCAGATATGTACATCAATATTAAGAGGCTATAACAAAAATTACTTTATATTCCATCAAAGTCAGGGCCCTGAGAGTCATATATAAGAAAAGATAAAGCTATCCCTGAAACAGCTCCAGGAGGTCCATAGGGTTGTGAGACGTCGAGGCTCCCACATTTTCTAGATAATCGGCTCACAGACGGCTGTGAGGTTGTCAGCCTTAAGCGCTGGCCGCCCTTTACCCCAGGAATATTCCTGGTACTCATTTCCGTTAGAGGCTGAGTCGACCCCAGGGCCATAGTGCGGCTGGAAGGATTAGGTCAATTGAAAGTTGCAGTGACTTCAGAGGGAATCGAACTCATGACCTCAAGTCTTGTAGCATACTGCCTCAATCAACTATGCTACCGCGTGTCCCTTTGACAGCCATATACCTGACATTAAAGCAGAGAAACGTGTCATGATGTTACTTGCTGCAAGAGCTGTGTCTCATGAGAGGTGTATGGAATCTTGGGCATTCAAAAGTTTAAATCAATAAATTCATTGATTACAGAAAATGGAACAAATCTGTTGTATTCCTGAGACAAGAGTACTTAGAGTGAAGCAGTAACACTGGTATGGAATTTATTCCATAGGAACCGAAACTCTTGATTAGAAAACGTATTCAGCAACACAGATTTCTATTTTACGACAGGAAAATAAGGATATTTAAATCTTTGACAATTTTCTCCGTACTTTATACTCGGAGAAGTCAAAGGGACGACATTAACCTGGACACTGAAATAGCAAAATTTAAACTCGTTTTAAACCCCAAGAGACATATCGGAGTAGGGGCTGCACCGTATGACGTAGCGGACGGACAAATTATCGCTGAATAGTCAAGGACCGCGCCACAGCTCAAGCGGTTAGTCGCTGGCTTCCCACCGCGCGGTGGTCCGGGTTCGATCTCGGGTCTAGTCAAGTTGGATTTTTGGTGGACAAATTGACGTTCGGGCGGGTTTTCTCCGAGTACTTCAGTTTCCCTTGCCAATCTTCATTCCACCAAATTCTCCATCGTCATAATCACCCAGGGCAGGCTACAATAGGCCAATCAGTGGCCGCCGTGCCAGAGGTTAAAGAACTGAAAGTGTAAATCATGGTTTAAGATTTGGATTTATGTCTCTAATGTCCACAGAATCATGAGTAGCTGTAAGTGAGTCACTTTATATCAGTAGCGGCTGGTTCGACTCCTATCTGACACACAAGTTTAAATATTGGCTGTTCTACAAATCAGTTTCTGAAACGTACTGCCAAACTGAATTTTATCAAAGAATGACATTTCAGTCTCCCTGACCCTATCTGTCCTTTCGTCACCTCATTCTTTTGGCCTCATTTCATATTCTGCCACTTCTCAATTATACAGGTAGACAGCAAGTCTGCTTGGTTTTACCACTGCTTTGAGGGTAGTAACATCCTCACACTGTTGAGCCGTATCACATAGATCGGCTCAGACACGTTCATTACATAATTCAAGCTTAAGTGAACTAAATTCCGTGGCTTGAGTCCACAAGCGAACTGTACCGACCGAGCGACCGCCGCTTGTAGGCAAAGCTAGTGACAAATTTAGCGGACAGAGGATGTTACGTGTTCAGCGCAATGGATTTCTGGACCGGAGCCGCTGTTTCCTTGAAATAGATCCTCAGGTATCCTCATGAGGCTGAGTGCACCCCGTTCCAGACCAACTACTTCTCAGAAAATCTGGTAGCGCCAGGAATCGAACCCGGAACCTCTGGATCTGTAGCAAGGAACTCTGACCATTGGACCACAGAGACGGTCCACATAATCCAAGCTATTGAGATAAATACAAAATGACGTTATATTTAGTTTAAGATCCACTTAAACTTTCTCACAAACAAGTTCAAAATTAATTAGGTTCATGAGTAAGTTTTACATATTAGCGAACTTTATGTCAATGTTTGAAAAGAAAGTGTTTCTGAAATATTGAATATTAAATAAATTGCTACTGATCTGAGTTGTTAAATGCAGTAACTTGAATACGTTTGTGAGCAAAATGTTTGCGAGTAATTTTGTTCTACGGCTGTTAAGTCAATCGGTAACAGAAAGAGCTTCCAAATCTATGCATTTAAATACACGTATTTCTATATTATCAAGTGCATAGGGTGACTATAGAGGGGGTTTTGGATTTGTAAGCGGATTTACTTGGTACACGACTCGTTACTGCACTTTACAAATCACTGTCATACACAGGCTAGTGCTCTTAGTCTGTTACGATTTTCTTTAGCCGTTGCTTGGTAGTGGCTTCCAACGGCGAACGTTCCCTCTGGGTTCCCGAACTACCTTCGGGCTCAGCTACCAGTTTGTCACAACATTTCATGAAGACTGAAGTACAGCAACCCTCTATCCTACTTACTTACTCACTCATCAACCAACTCATTAACCGATTCCTCACTGAGTCTGAGTCTTATATTACGAGAGACGGTCAGTCGGCGAGTCTGTCTAGCGTTGCCTAGCAATGGGACTATTCGTCACGATATATTTGTGATGCGTCGCGGATTGCTGTACTGAGTACACAGTCTGTAAGTGTACATTCAGAGACATGTCTTGGAAAGCGCGTTTCTGCTATGTCATTTATTTCCAGTCATAAGCATGTGAGTGGTAGCGTAGTGGTTGAGGCGCTATGCTACAAGCGGGTTGAAGTCCCGATGAGGTAATTGGATTTTTTCAATTGATCTAATCCTTCCAGCCGCACTAGGCCCTGGGGTTTACTCAGCCTCTAACAGAAATGAGTACCAGGAATTAATTAAATAATTTTCCTGGTGAGTAAAGCGCGGCCGGTGAGTAAGTCTGACAACCTTAACGCCATCTTTGAGCCGATTGTCTAGATAATGTGGGAGCCTCAACGTCTCACAACCCTATGGGCCTTCACGGCCTGGTACAGGGATAGCTTTACTTTACTTTAAACTTACATAAGCATGTGAGCTGCTAACAACGTCTCAAATTAATCCTACAAATCCAGAGGTCCCGGGTTTGATTCCCGGCGCTATCAGATTTTCTGAGAAGCAGCTGGTCTGGAACGGGGTCCACTCAGCCTCGTGAGGATAAAAGAGGAACATTTTCAAGGAAATAGCGGCTCCGGTCTAGAAAAACCGAGATTAACGGCCGTGGGTATCGTTGCGCTGACCAAGGGACACCCTCTATCCACAAAAGTTGGCCGACAACTTCGCCGACAAGCGGCGGTCTCTCGGTTGGTATAGTTCGCTTGCGGACTACAGGCCACGGAGTTTATCCTTCCTAATTTTAATGTTTTAGCGTCCGTTGTATTCTTAACATATATACTAAATATGAACAGCTTCCGTTCCAGATCTTTCTCATAGCTATATGACACATCGCAGCCCTGGTAATTAAGGCCCTGGAGTTTCTAGCAGATCAGAGACATGTAATTAAAGCATAAACAGGCCTCATCCAAATTTATATTTCGTGTTATAGCGTTGATGGGCGTCAATTAAGATGTGCGCCTGTTTCTCTGGCATACGAACTGTCTGAAGCCACTGTCGCATGAAACGCAGCAGTTCACTTCGTATTTCATAGCGCTGCACTTCAAGCTTAAGCGCGATAGAAAAAGTTTGGCTTCACGCCATTTGCTAAAATGCCTTTCTCGCTTCTAGGGTTTATTTGGTAGATCATCAGGGGAGATAGCGCAATTTGAATAAAACGGAGCCTCGTGAATAGATAAACTGCGTAAATCTGGTGTGGGGAACTCTTTCAAAGAATCTGCTAATGTTACTTTCATGACCTGTCGTAGAAACTCGTAGAAACGTAGGTTCCTTATGCTCGAAATCGGGATTAGAATTAGAAACGAGATCCCGAAACGTCCTCACATGAAAACGTCAATGGGGCACTTATTGCTAAACGAAATCACTAGAACGTGCTTCACAGTCACCAAAGCTCATTATTCTTACTAATTACTGACCATGGACAAGTGTTCATGAAGTTTGTTCCTGTCTGGTTATTGTGCAAATTGCCGTCAGATTTCTCGGAAACTCCATGCTTATAAAATTTTCTTTTACATTTTTCTCTAATTTCTCTCTTGGATTCGAAGTGACGTTATTATGATTATTTATTATTTGCATGTTATTTACTAACTACGTACATCCTTATAGCCTCGCTCAAGCGGTTAGTCGCTGGATTCCCACCGCGGCGTCTAGGGTTCTAGCCCGGGTCTGGCCAAGTGGGATTTGTGGTGGACAAAGTAGTGCTGAATCAGGTTTTCTCCGAATACTTCAGTTTCCCCTGCCAATCTTCATTCCACCAAATTCTTCATTTTCATAATCAAACGGAGCAGGCTACAATAGGCCAATCCACTGCCGTGCCGAGTGGACCCAGTTGGACTCCACCCCCCACTAAGCGAATTTAGCTAGATAGATAAGAGATGGCTTGAATAAATTAGAAAATCCTTCGTTATGTAATATAATAAATTGTCCACTCTCTAAATCTCTCTCATGTATAAAATGTTTTCTCGTGTACTCTGTTTTAAAGTACTGCGAATTATATTATTCCCTGAAGGTATTATTATTTATTATTATTAAAGGGGGTGGGTTTCCCCATGCACTTAGACCAGTTATTGGTCCATTGTGCGTCCCCCTTTAATTTCTACTGTCGCCATACCCTACCGGTACTGGTGCGTGCTATCAGCCCCGTTCAGCCAACGAGGTCGGCCTTCGGTACTTGATATTTCCCCCATCTACCAGAGGCATTGGAAACTATTTGGGAGGGAAATTGTTGCCTAATTTTGCTCAGAGGTCTCCTAGAGACATGAGGATCTTTTACGTGCCGTAAATCTACGACACGGGAACCGCGGCTTAAAGTCCCTCCCGGAGAACTTGTTCCCTGAATTTTTCTGCCGGGTTTGAACCCGCGTACCTTGAGTCATGAGGTGGGAACGTTACCCCTAGACTACGGAGGCCGCTTTCCCTGAAGGTAAGAATTGTTCTTTCCTCCCAAGTCCCCGTCAATAATTCAGTCCCCTGTTGTACTCACAATGTTCATCTGCTGAGATTGAATTTCCTTGTACACTTCGACGATCTGCAGAAGGGCCGAACCTGGAACAAAGAACCAACAGTAGATTCAGTTTCCTGACAATGCCAAGCAGGTGGCTAATTGCCGGCGTCGATCCTCTTTTATATAGCAAGAAGAAATGACGAAATATATATCCATGAAACTGTCTTAAAAGGAAGGAAGAAAGTGCTTTCAATTTTCTGAAGATGACACAAATACAAATTTTATTTTCGCTTCTGTGAAAGAAAGCCATAAACCATGTACGTAATTTTCATAACAAGTTCACATCTGTTGTTGTCCAAGGACGAAAATAACATCTGTACTTCAAAGGAAGAATAGCTCTTCCAGACTCAAGCGCTGTGTTATATGGGACCCGTCTTCACATAGATCATAGCGACCTTAGTATTCAAGTAATATTAACAAGAACCAAACGAAGTGTCCTCCGACTGCTTGCTGCCACACTGACAGCAATTAAATTCAACGATTTAATTCGTACACCACACGAAAAGCCAACGTTAACAGTAACAGTGGTAAAATCTCATGCACAATTAATATTTCAAAGAATATATTTTATATAATTAAAAGCTTCGGGCAGTCCCTTAAATATTAAAGCGCGATCAAAGTTGGTTAAACCAAATGAAACGGATAGTATTTTCTTTATAAATTCGCTTAGTGGGGGGTGGAGTCCAACTGGGTCCACTCGGCACGGAGGCCACTGATTGGCCTTTTGTACCTGCCCCGGGTGATTATGATGATGGAGAATTTGGTGGAATGAAGCTTGGCAGGGGAAACCGAAGTACTCGCAGAAAACCCACCCCAGCGAGAGAAGGAAAACAAGAATATGGCAATTCCTCGGCAGTTACGGAAAAAGGGTTCGGCCGAAGGTTTATCCTGAGTTATTGAAAATTATTGTAATTAAGAAAGATTGTAAAGGAGGCGTCATTAAATATCCAATCATCAAATTCAAAACCCTTTATTTTTAGTCACGGACCCATAAACTCGTGACAATACAATGTCTACAGATAGATTTCCTTCAGGCCAATGTAACAATTGATTCAAACGCTATACGACATATGGGGTGGACTGGCACGAACTGTGAGTGGCTGTCAGGAAGGAATGGAAAGAAGAAGCAGTCGCGAACTATTAAGGCTCTATCCAAGCAACTGTTTATGGAGGCCGAGGAAAATCATGAAAACATTAGTGACGCTATCCTGTCTCAATTTCGACATTTCAAATCGTGTTCTTCGGAATACGTCTCTGTATTACTTACCACTGAACAACGTAGTTAAATGAAACGGGCTGTACTTCGAGAGTATAAGTTACGCTAAAACTCCAAGGTCAATAGCCTGAGACTTACTTGGAGGGTTAGAATTGGAAACAAAGTTTCTCGTGGAAAAGGGACACCTAATTACAATTAATGTGACATTACCATTAGCCAATTCTTTGTAATTTCACTTCTGTCATCAAAGCTTTCACAATGAATCTCTCCTGGAAACGAAGGAAATTAAAAAGTATTATATAAAAGAAGGCAATGGGGAAGATTGGATTTTTGGTGAAGGGTAGGGGGGCAAACAGAAGTTCAAAATTCGAATGCTAAGAGGAACTTAATTAAGATTTAAGTTTTTCCAGCTGTGGATTCGGTTCAACATTCCCCCCTTGTAACAAACACACTGGACTTTCTGTGAAACGGCAAAGTAACCTCATGTACAATGCAATAGAGCACACTCCTATAGATCCGAACTTGTAAGTTCAAATCATTTGGATTGAATCTCGGGCGAGCTGGGGGAAGGGAACTATAACAGACTGAGTCAGAGTGTACAGTACATATTTGATACGTGAGCACAAAGCGGCTGTTATTGTTCCTTGCACTCAGGAGTTACAGGAATAAAACGCAATTATCAATAAAATACCCTCTCTAGTGACTTCGTTCATAGATTCAAATGAGTAAAACCATTATGTTTCGAAGTTGGTCATATTTCCGTATTTATTATACTAAAGAAAAACTCCTCCGGTCACGGTAGCCGAGCGGTCTAAGGCATGCACTGTCTTCGCTCGCTTGGAAACCGGGATCGTGGGCTCGAAACCCACTCAGGGCATGGATGTTTAGTTTGTGTGTGTGTGTTTTTCTGTGTTTGTGTACAGGTAGAGGCCTTGGGACGAGCTCATCACCCGCCCAAGGAGTCCTACCGAATGTGTAAGATCTAGAGAAACCGAAGTGAATGGAGAAGTTCATGTAGGTAGGCCTAGGCCCACTGGGGCTGTAGTGCCAAGGAAAAAAAAAATAAAGAAAAACTCCCGTGTTGGACGCTCAGCAGGACTAATCTCAAGCTAGGGTAGGTTATCTTCTTTATCCTGTTCACTTGAAGTCGGAAGTAGAATCTATTTCCTGCAAGTAGATCGTGTGGTTAATTTGGATGGAGAGGAAGAAAAAATACAAATTTTATTCGCACAGGTGTATGAACCTGGCTATCTGGCTAACAGTACGTTTTCATTTTCAATTAGGTATGTTTAAGTATTCATTCTAATAATGTTTATGTTATCAAATTACATTTACATAATTATAATAATTTATCTCTTCCTTGCTCCTACGTTCACAACACTCTATGCCTAAATTTTTTGTTTAGTCCTTTCAAACTTCGAATGCATAAGAGAAAGAGCGATGAAATATAAAAGAAAGCAGAAGAACAATAATGTGAAGAATAATAAAATGAGAAAGGCGGAAAGGAGAAGAATGAAAGGAACATTAGGAGGAAAGGAAGGAGAAATAGGTGATATAGAAGGAACAGAGAAAGAGAGAAAAAAGAGACGAAGAATAAGATGGAAAGAAAAGGAATAACAATTAAGAGAAAAGGAAGAATCCGTCCGACTCCTTGGGTCTTAAAGTTTAAATGTTCAGTGTGAATTTCAGCTCTTCGTTTGCAACACTAATTCATGGAGATAAGTTAGGGGTCTGAATTACCTTCTATATATCATTAAAGCAGAAGGTGAAAAGTTTAGATAACCTCGCCTGGTGCATGAGAATTTATCACGCAATAAGAACATCCTGAAACCTGCGGTGAACCTGATAGGTGCAAAAGCTAATAGGATAACTTCAAAACACAAGATATATATACCCTGCTGGAGCTCAGAAAGCTAGCCTTCCGAAAACATTCTTTGATACAGCACGCAAGGCAAATAGTTCCTACCGAAAAATAAAATATTACACAAACCAGATATGACTGGATCGATTTTACTATAGGTGATAAATCTATGCGGAATATATTCAATAAAATTATATAACAAATTTTCCTTTACATAGGATATGAGATGTGGCCCTTTCTTCAAGCCTATGCCCTTATGGTGACACTACTATCGTTGCACGATCTGTTAAGGAGACAGAATACATGCGTAATATATTCCAGGCAAATGACCGTATTCCGTCCGACACTGTGCACCAGTTAGGCCTATATACAGCTCAGCAGGGCTGGACAGAGACTGGTTAGGGCCATTATGAGACCCAGAAATTACGTACTCTAATATTCATCACCTGTCTCCCCGTAATTTCCACATCGAAGGCAAACCAGGTTATTTGAAGACTATATGAAGTTTAATGCATAAAGCGATTAATTTACTTCTTACATGTCTTATCAATCTGTGTGCTATGGTGGCAGGTATTAGCAATGATGTGTTATATCACAAATTTTGTCTTCTGAACTTGAAGTTAATGACACGTAAAAGCAATTTAATATTTGTTTCTTGCAACACTAAATTGTAATTGCCATTATCAGGTTATAGTGCCCTGTTACTCTTTATGGAGTATATTAAAGATATGTGCATTCTCGTATATACGTGGACACAAATATTAAGAAAGTGTTCTGAAGATATGTGATTTAATTTTAAACAATTTCTTTGCTTTACTATAAACAACAGGCAAATTATTCTCTGCAATACGATGCTGTATAGTCTACTGGGATTGATCGACGTTTTGGTAGGAATGGGTTGCCTCCGTTTCAGAATCGAATGAAAACGCGAGCGAGGAACGGATTAACGTTGCTCTTCCTGCTTCCTCGGCTTAATCATCGACCTTGAAGCTAAAGGCGTTATATTCTTCCGGAACGGCAGTCTACATAGCATTAAATTCCTGTAGACAGTTCTCATTGGTCACGGCCGTGAGGACCCAAACTCTTACATATTGTAACTGTCCAATTTATGGGACGGTTAATTGATGTTTTTTGTATGGGTAGGGTTCGGTGAAATTCCTCACTTTCGTCTCACAATTGGAGATCCCACCCCTCCCCCGAGACACGCATCGATTGGCTTGGGTCAAGCTTGAAGCCAGCTGCACATACGTAAATCAGTCAAGTTAATGCGCAACACGAGACCGAGATCTTTAGAAATCCTAAACTTTGAAAAGGGAAGTCATAATTTTAGCAGCGTCGTTTTCTGCTACCCCAAAATCCCATTTTTGACAGTCACGCAGCAGGTGGCAAAGTTTACCCCTAAACTCTACACGCGTGGATATTTCTTTTCTAATTGGAGGAGAAAGATTAAGCAACCTCCCAGTCTGCCGGTCCAGCCAATCATAATCTGAAGTGGGACGTCCTTTGACCGCATTTTAGGTAACCAGGGTAGATATTTACCATTCAGAGCGTGCTTGGCGGAGGGCTCCGAAATTTACATTCACCGGGGTACACGTGTCCTGATCCCCGTCTATACACTCTGTGATGCCCATTGACTTGGGTGTTTTAGTAAACGGTAAAGAAGACTAAATCCACAAATCTGTTAAGTGTGTCACTACGGTGCAGTTACCGTTTAAATAGTGCCGTTTGAATAAAGACTTCACACAGTTAATTGGCGTTGAGTGTGACTTTCCTACGCCTAAAGCCCCACTAATCACCCGAGTCGTGGCCAGTCAACACGGCCTGAGAGGAGTCGAATTTCTCTACCGGAACTAGCAGAACCAAAGAACGGTTACGGTGTATCCGGATAGCTTTTTACACTTCAAGTTCGGCCTTGGTACTTTGGCTACAAGTTCGCCGCGGTGGTGCGGCAACTTCTCCGACAC